CCTCACCCCCCGCACCCCCCCTCACCCCCTCACCCCCCTCACCCCCCTCAACCCCCCGTCCTCCTTGCTGTCCGTCCCCCTTTCCTCCCCCTTTCTCCTTTCCTCCCTTCCCTACTCGCTTTTTTTAGAGGCCGGCAGCTGCCTTTTTGATCTTTTTGCACAGGATTCCCCCCCGTCCCCCCCCCTCCCCCGACACACACACACACACACACACACACACCTTACCCACCCTCCCACCCCTCCCAATTCCCCCCCCCCCAGTTGCTGACCTGCTTGGAGCGCACCAGGAAGTCCTGTCGGCCCACTAGCAGGATGCGGTCGGGGTCCAGCATCTGAAGAACCGGAATGCCTGCGTGCGTGTATGTATGTACGTATGTACGTATGTATGTATACACGCGCATGCCCACGCATACACACACGCGGCGTTTCCCAGTGGGTGAGCGAGTGGGGGTTCGGTGGGGCAAAGGAGGGTGAGTGAGAAGCGAGTAAAGGAGAGACCAACCAAGCCATGCAGCCGTGTCTGTTGCCGGTGGGGTGGGGTAGGCTGGGGGTGGGGATGCGGCAGTTAGGGTGGTGTTATCCGCAAGCCCTTGCCCCTCATCCACGTCCGCGCCTTGCATTCACTCCCCCTCTTCTTCCCCCTCCACCCGGCAATCCGTACCTCCCAATCCAAATCAGCCCCTGCCGACCTACCTTCCAGCCACAACCCCACTTTTGCAGGATCAGGCCTGAGGCCCCCCTCCCCCCCCTCCCGGCCCCTGCCTGGGGGTGTTGGCGGACCTCCCAGGCCCGTATTTGCCTCCGTCAGGGACCACCACGTCACATCACGTCACATCACATCACATCACCAACATCATGTCATCATCCCGCCCTCCCCCACCGCAAAGCCCCCTCAGGCCCCTCCCCGCACAAGTTGTTAACAGTACTTTGCGTGACATCAGTTTCAATTCCTTCCCCTCGTGCGTTTATTTTCCCTCCCTCCCCCCCTTAAACCCCCTCCCCCCCTCTTCCCCACGTCACACACCTCCCATGCCGAACGGCCCTGGGGGCCGCAGCAGCGGATCAGGAGCCTCCGCTAAGGAGCCCCCCGCCCCCGCCCCTCCGGCTGACGCCGCCGCCGCCACCTCCGCCTCCCGGTCACTGAACACATGCAGCAGTGACCCCGTACGGCGGTCCAGTGCAAACACCCGCGTGCGGCGCTCCCCCGTTATGATGGACCCATCATCGGTCAGGGAGGGGGAGGTGTCCACCAGCTCAGGCAGCGTGATGGGCAGCCGCTGCAGGGGCAACAAGGGGGGAGGAAGAGTGGGGGTGGGAGGCGGGGAGAAGGGGGATTAGGCGGGGAAATAGGCGGGAGATTCAGAAATGCAGGAAGAGAGGAAAAGGGCAAGAGGAACGCGGAAAGAGGAGGAAAGCAACACCAGCAGCACCCACAACACCAGCAGCACCCACAACACCAGCAGCACCCCAGCAGTAGCAACATCGCCGCCACCAGCAGCTGTAGCAGCAGAG